AAGAGGTCGTGAGTATTCTGCTCGTTATGCGGCTGAGACAGAAGGAAGGGGGTCATGGCTGACCCTGGTCTTGGCGTTAAGCCTGGTTCGCTTGCCTCAGCTGGGCCTCGGTCGTTCAGGCCTTTGCTAGCTGATATATTGTGGGCCGGTCGGCCCGCTAACTAATCGGTGCCTTGAGACACCCTGGGATTATAACCCCGACATTATTTTTCCTATAACTTTAGCTAGCAGTCAATTCTTAGTGCCGCATATTATGACAAAGAACTACTGCAATTATGAAAAACTTCACATTGCACCAACGGTTTTATAGGAAAAGAGATTGTACATCTCATTATTCTTTCTGTGTCACTGGTAGCTATTAGTTCAGTTCTTGGAACCACATATTATACAAAACATCATCCTGCGCCCGCTGTTTTGTAGGAAAAGTAAATGTACTCCTTATTATTGTATTGTTTCTCTTAATTTCTAGCTGGCATTTCAGTTCTTACCACCACATATTATGCAAAACGTCATACTGTGCCCACTGTTTTGTAGGAAAAGTAAATGTACTTCTTATTATTATATTGTTTCTCTTAATTTCTAGCTGGCATTTCAGTTCTTACTGCCATAGATTATGCAGAACATCATACTGCGCCCGCTGATTTGTAAGAAAAGTAAATGTACTTCTTATTATTATATTGTTTCTCTTAATTTCTAGCTGGCATTTCATTTCTTACCACCATATGCAAAACATCATACTGCGCCCACTGTTTTGTAGGAAAAATGCATGTACTTCTTATTATTATATTGTTTCTCTTATTTTCTATCTGGCATTTCAGTTCTTACCACCACAGATTATGCAAAACGCCTATTTGTGCTAGCAAATTTACAGCAAAAACTCATGTACTTCTCACTATTCTTTTCCTATAAATACAACCATTCCATTCACTTATTGGCCCCAACATTAGCACAAAGAACATAATAGACTACTGATTTTACAATGAAAAGGGAGACGGTCCCTTCGTGGCTACAGATATTGCTTGCAACACAGTTCTTTACGACTTGTGCAAACCATCTTCTTGCTAGTCGCAACGAGTGTAACCTATTTTGCACCCAGTGTGAGGCTACACCAGCTGCTTTCTGTAACTATTGCCGTTCAAGAGATCATTCCACTCATCGTGTAATCCAGGTAAGAAATGTGTAGTTGTGTAGTCAATGGAAAGGTAAAACATTTCGTATCATACATGTCATACAACTCAAAACTTTATGATTTAGATGGTTTTTCTCTTGTTGCTTCTTATGCCACCTCACAATTAAGAAATGTTATAAAACTTTACATAAAACGTGTTCTGAATTTGGGTGTATAAAAATAGATTTCATTCATAGGCCACGGGTCCTTTGAGCAAGCACACATATGATCTATGAAAAGATGGAAGTATTTAAGTTTCAAATAATTCAATGTTTCAGATAAGGCGATCATCCTATCATGATGTTGTGAGGGTCTCAGAGATTGAGGACATCCTTGATATTAGCGATGTGCAAACTTATGTAATCAATAGTGCAAGGGTCGTATTTTTGAATGAGCGCCCACAATTGCGTGCTTCTGGTGTCCCCATTTGTAAGGCACCTTCGTCATCAATACATAGCTGTGAGACATGCAATCGTGCTCTACTTGATGCATTTCGCTTCTGCTCTCTTGGATGCAATGTAAGTTATCACAAACTATCTAAGGATTTTATTTTCTCAAAAGTACAAAAATAAGAAATAAATTTCATAATTAATGGATTGCATATATCTAAGAAAATCCTTACCTTTTACAGCTTAGAGGCTTAAATATGGAAATGAGTACGCCATCCATGGTTGAAAACAGCCCTCAATCCAATGGTAAGGATCATGTGACTAGGATCGATGATGTTGGTTCAAGTACTACAAGTGACAAAGATAGCTGCAATGACAAGAACAACGAAGAACCACCACCAAAAAGGGTTGCTCGTCATCGACGCAAGGGAATTCCCCAACGTGCGCCATTCTTCTAATGTGAAGCTCATGACAATATCCATTAAATGTTGGGGCAAATAAGATGAGAGAATGTTTGTCATGGGTAGAATAAATAAACGAATGAACGAATGACCCCAATGCTATGTAGGGTTGATTTCTTCAAATTGCGAGCCTTTCGAAAATATTTTACTAGACCATCTAATGGTTGTTTCTCTCAAAGCACGCAATTGTTATACTGGAAGCACATAGTGTAGTCATACCTTTATCTCTCTTAAATAGTTCTACCCCGAGGTTTACTTCAAATCACGAAGAACAAGTGATAAGATTATGTAGTGTCATGACCCATCATTGCACTTGGTTGATCATTAGCATCATGTGCAAAATCATAATCCAAAAATCCATATTTGCAAAACTAGTCGAGTTATAGATGTAGATTCTGGCTCTGATGTGTTTATGTGGACAATACATACGGACCTACAAGGCAATCCGTTCTTGGTGAGTTAGGTCAGTTCAAGTTCACAAGGATGGAAAGTCCATCCTATCACGTCAGGTTGTCTATCAGAACGTGAAAATGCAGGATTTTGAGCTGGGCATTAACCCTTCTTAACGGCCCCATGTGGCAGGCAAATGTAGCACATTCTATGTGACTTGGAACCTAAGATGCCTACATCCACTCACCCTCGCTCTACCACTCTTAGCCCTGTCATAACAATCATGAGCATCATGTTTCCTTATATGTACCTTGTACTCATATAGGAGTTGAGGCACCCAAGGAGGTGACTCTCAAGACCAACTTTGACTTTGTTCCCAAGACCAAGCCCATTGTCCAACCCCACTGAGTATCATGACAAGCCCCTAAGCATATATTTCTCTTTTATAATGGCGTAACTTGATATGTGCTAGCTATTGCATCCTATGTATACTATCAGTGGAATCAAATGAGAACATAGTTGAGCGTTTACCTTGATGATTAACTTCCTATACCTTGCAAGATTGATCGTTTGCCTTCCTAGTATGTGTTCAATGCTTGCTTTCTTAGATGCGATTGAAGTCGGACTCATGATGGGTTTCTCATAGTTCACGCGCCATATGTGCAAGCGCCACACAAGTGCCAATGCGGCTACCGAAGTGGGGGTGACCCCCCATGTGAGCACTGCTAGGAGAAGTGTGCCACTAGGGAGAAGTGTTTTTGTGAGAGAAAGATAGAAGTGAGGGATGAGAAACCATAAGTGTTGTCAATATATATGAGGAATGATTATGGGCAGGGTTTGCCTTACCATGTTTTTGGGCCTATTATGAGGCCCACCTTGGGAAAATCCTATTACTTTTAGAAGTGGATCTCTTCAGAGGCCCATCTGTGTTAATTGATTTTAGGAGACCTTATCTATTTTTTTTTGAATGGAGGCATTATCTTTTGGGTGTCTAATCCTTGTCTATTCGGTTGTTTTTTTTACAATCGTTTTTTTTTGGTAATGTAGAATTTGAGAATCTCATTTATGCTTCTAGAATATTCATTATTAACTATAGTAAATTTTACCGTTGTCTACATGTGTATGATTTGGCAACTGGTGATGGTATTTATATCTAGTAAATAAAAGGAAACCTTCCTTGTGGAATTCAAGTATCTCATACATAGGAAATAATAAAGTTCGAAACTAAAGTTTTCTCTATTTCTACGACACTAAATAAACCTTGACAGAGATGGTGAAGGAGCCAGCAGGAACAGGGGTGGATTTGGGTCTAGCGCCATGACCCCTAAGCCTGGCCTAAACAAAATCCAAATATCAGTCTAATAATTTTGGCCCAATTCTATCTTGCCCCAGGCGCGGCCCAGATGCAGTCTTCTCGGAGCCCCACAAACTTCAGCGTGCCAGAGAGAAGGTGAAGCAGGCGAGCAGCCGAGTAGCAAAGGGTGGTGGATGGCGGTGGCTGGCCTTGGCCATGGCCCATCGCCGGAGGAGAGAAAAAAAGATCAGCATGCAGCTTGCTGCCGCCTTTTGCAGGCTTGCAATTGCAACAGATATAAATATGCCCAATCCCCTCCTTGCTCTATTTCAATCCTGAACTCCCTAATTTTAGGAGAAGGAAATGATAATGGACTCTATTTGAGCTACAGTCTCATTCACCACCCCTGAATCAGCCACTATTTAAAAAAAAACTCAAACTTTAATACCGGACAACATACACACCTGAACTTTTGAAACTAGACAAGATATTCCTCTTAACTATTTCAAAATGATTTCTTTCATGGTTTTGCTGACGTGACAGTAGGACCACCTGTCATTTGGAGAAATAACTTTTTCAAATGAAGTCATATGAATACAAACTTTATATTAAAGCTGTAGAGCTGACATAGTCTACAACTTTGTAGTTGATAACTTTTTTAAATAATATATTTTAAACGCTCAAATATTCATTTAAGTTACAATATTTTATAATTTTTTTTCCAAATGACCCCGATATGTTGACACAGTTTACATCAAAGTTGTAATTCTCAGTAAGATATATAACTTTATATGTCCCGTTCACTTGGCTGATAAGTCATGGCTAAAAGTACTATTGACTGATTTGTTGTGAGAGAAAAATACTGTTCGTTGGCTGAAAAAGTACAGTTTATAAGCCGAGTGAATAGGGCAATAGTTGACAATTTTTCTATTTGATATTGTTTAGACCACTAAATATTTATTTTAAGTTCTCTAACATTGACGGGATGTTGACCTCAGATTTTGATTTTTTTTCTGAAATTCAGCTACTAGATCAGTTTGTGCCGCTTTGTTGGCTCATCTTGTGCCACGAGCAATTGTCTGTCATGCTCAGCGCAACAGCAAGCTCTGCCGTGAACCGTCCATTTCACGATCATTTCTGACCGTTCCTTTCAACGAACGCGAGCCGACGACAAGAGCAGACGAACCTGTTTCAATTCTTTTCAATCCATGTCCTCATTTTGAGCAGCCTCGCAAACCTTATCCCTCTCTCTTCCTCGCCTGCCACAACGACGAAACGTTGGCATGTGAGCGCCACCCATGCAACCTCCCGTCACGCCGCCGGTAGCCGCCGGAGCAGCGACCCCGGCTCCGCCACCAGCCATCTACTCCCAGCCGTCACCATCACCATTAGCAATCGCATCGGCAAAGACAGGGAGGCGGCAGCTGCTGGTGTCGTCGGGTCTGCTCCTCGCGGCCAGCAGCAGTGGCAGTACCGCCGCCGGCGCGCGGGCTGCAGGAGAGGAGGCGGGAGCTTTGGCAGGGTACAGTGGGCCGCCGCCGGTGGTGACGGAGGCGGAGCGCGCGGCCAGCGTGGCCTTGTCGCGGCGCGTCGGGGAGGCCGTGGGGCTGCTGGAGCGCGGGCGGGAGCTGCAGGCGCGCGGGGAGTTCCCGCAGGCGCTGGCGTCGTTCACGCGCGTGGTGCGGGAGTACGCTGACCTGGCGCTGTCGGAGTACGCGCGGGTGGGGCGGGCGCTGGTGCTTTACGAGATCGGCGACCGCGACGAGTCCATCGCCGAGATGGAGGACGTCTCCATCGCGCTCAAGGGATACCCAGGTCGAGGTCGTCTATTTGTCAGTCACGTCGAAGTTATGAGCTAGCTTCCTTGGTAACTTCCTGATGGATTACTGATGATGATGGTGAGGTTTATTTGCAGAGATCCACGCGGCCCTGGCGGCGGCGCTTTACGCGGACAAGCACGCGGCGCTGCTGGCGGAGAACCAGTTCGCCATCGCGACGCTGCTGGACCCGCACTACACGGACCTCGCCTACGTCAGGGACACCAAGCACTGGCCGCCCAGCCTCGTTGCATCACTCCACGACTTCATCACACTCTCCTAGTGGCTAGCTACGTTATCAGCTGACGCACAAAAAGTGTCAAGTTGTATAGTGCTTGTATTGTATAGCTGTTAACCACGCACAAAAAGTTTCTACTATCAGAAAGTTCAAGCTTGCTTTGCATCATGCTATATATACTCTGAAATCGCAAAATCTAATATACGACCTGTCGAGCGCGACGCGGGCCAGCCCACCGGTGCTCCCCCCACCCCACCCTCACAGTCGGCGTCGAAGACGGGACCTCGCCACCATTAGAGTTATGGCACTGCCGGCGGCTCTAGAAGGAGGTTTCGAAGGGCGGTGACCATGACACGGCGGTGGAGGCGGGCGAGACTGTGGCGGGGCAGGGCAGGGCGGTGGGGGCGCCGCTCGCCGGGGCAGCCGAAGACGGCGGTTGGGCGCGGCTGGCGGTGGGGCGCCACGGCGGAGCTCACCGATGCCATGTGTTTGTGGGAGGGCGGAGTTAAGCAGGGACAGGGGCGGGAGGTGGGTGGCGTGTTGAGGCGGCAGGAGCCATCGGCCGCCGGTGGTGAAAGGCGGGGGCGAGGACCAGGAGGACGTCGCCGGCGCACTGCCCTGTGTTTAGGGGAGGGCGAGGTCCAGCGGCTGGGGCAGGCGTTGGGCGGCGTGACAGCGAGGGAGCCGCTTGCGGGTGGTGGGCGAGGAAGGCAGGGGTGCGGCAGGCAGGGCGCGAGGTAAACGACATGGCTGAGGTGAGGTAGCAACAAGGAAGATGAAGTGGAGCTGGGCCACGCGCTTGGCTGGTCGCTCGTTATCGCGCTTCCTCGGAAATACTCCTACATAGGATTGTCTCCTAAGTGTTATGGCATAATTAAAATGGGAAATCTTCCCTCCACCGAGGTGGAATATTTAGTTTTCTTCCACTCACCTTCTACGTGGGCTTCTTTGTTTCTTTTGGGGATGCGGGCTTGTTTCTTTTGCAATACTGATCCGTTTTTGCAATGTCGGCTCATGAGGCCTACTAGACAAGTTTGATTGTTTCTTTATTTTTTCTTTATATTTTTTAAATTATTGAATTTGTATGTGTTGAAATTGTTCAAGTAATGTGCTCAAGATCGATTTACTCAAGGAATGGGCAGAAGGATGGTTTCATCCCTTAAGAGGAGACGTTAAGAAGAAATGACATATGTGAAAAAAAAAAAGCTCAAAGGAATTAATTATCCTTTAGTACATAGGTAGGCAACATATCAGATACAAACCAACTAACCTGTATAAACTTGAAATCTACCGATCAGGACCACTAGATGTTGATCCGATGGATGGGTTGAGGGGGCTTAAGCGCAAAAAAAGGCCGACGGGTGGGGGGCTTAAGCGCAAAAAAATCCCACCTCTCACCCCATCCAATGAATCAGTATCTAGTGGTCCTGATTGGTAGTTTCCAAGTTTTCATAGGTTGATTGGTTTGCACCTGATATGTTCCCACATAGGTATATGTTGGACTATCAAGGGTGATGCAACATGTTGTGCATTGAAAAGTCTCTAGTGCTCAAGGTTACCTATGCAAGAATTTAGAGACATACAAAGCCACCGACCCTAGCAAGAAATTTTGGATGACTGGTTTAAAAAACTGGGTTATCCAGTTTTCCCAATGAAAAAATAGTGAGTAGAAAATATTAGTTTTTGCTTGATACAAACTCATATAGACTTGCGGGGGTTCTTGGAAGTGTTGCTCTTTAATTTCTGTGGAAGTTACGCAAAATTTTGCGTGAGTTCTGCACTTGAGAAGCTAGGCTCTAACGGCTACTTTCATGAAAATTGGATGGCCCACTATATGAAATCGAATGACCTGGTTTTCACCGAAATTGTGCATGGGTAGTTTTATACCCCACCCACCCTTGCCGTCTCTTTTGAGGGCTACTGATTTATGATACATTTGGAAGCATTCTAGACCTTATGAGAGCTCTCCCCAGCCCTTGCTTTTGTGCAATAGTGTGATTCTTACTATATCAAGTGTTGGGTCGAGTTATTTTTTTTAATGGGAAAAAGAGAGTAAACAAAAGTATTGAGCACTTGTGGAAAGTCAAGAAACTCATGAAGCATTTGTTACTCTTGAAGGTCTAGACAGCTAAGCATCATCGTCTGGTGAGCTTTTGTGCTTGCGAACACCATAGGCAACTTTGTGCAGGGTTCGATCTTGCCTTTGAAAGGGAAAGAATCAAACTAGTGGAATGTGAAAGTGGTTGCAAGAAACTCATCTAGATCTTAACCTTTGGTGGTTGCTAACAGCTTTATCAACATAGACATAGGGTTAAGGGAAAGAATCAAACGGTGCGTGCTCCCCTGCACCGTCGTTGGCGTTGTGGCTACACATGCTCAGTGTCCATGGAACAAACCAAGAGAGGTGGACGCAAGAGAGGGAGATTCAAGGGGAGATAAGTGGAGAGGGAGTTTCTTTATTTGCAACTTCAATCGGCACATTCATGTAGGTGGTGGCGTGGCGGTGTTTTGGACCTTTAGTCGAGTGCAATGGCAGATTGAGGATCCATATGGTCTGTTTTTTAGTTCGAAGATCCAAGTGAGAATTAGTAGTAGATTGAGGACCCAGATAGTCACTTCTTTAGTTTGAGGACCCAACTGAGAACTCATGAAAAGTTTAAGGACCTGTCGGTGCGGGACCCACGGGATACCCCGCAAGGAAGGGAGAAGATCTAGTCTAACTAGGATTCATCCCATGTAATCTTAGTAGTATTATTCTGTAATCCTACTAGGAACTCTCATTGTAAACCGACTAGGATTCTGACCTCCTGACTATATAAAGGAGGGCAGTGTTCAATCCAACGCAAAGGCTAACGCCGACTGGACGTAGGGCTATTACTCGATCAACGATCGAGGGTCCGAACCAGGATAAATCGACAGTCTCTTGCATTTACCGTCGAGTTCCGCATACGCTGAAGCCCGAACATACTGCCCCGGGTACCCCCGTGGTAGGCTATCGGTGGTCAAACATCGACAACTGGCGCGCCAGGTAGGGGCTTTCGGCGAATTTGCATCCGAGAGCTCGATGGACCTCGACAACATGATCTTCTCGACGGGATCAACCTTCATCTTCGGTTCATGGATCTGCGAGGCAGGTGACAATGGCAAGCTCCAAAGCCATCTTCTCGAAGATTCGGATCACCATGAAGACCATTCTATTTCGGCGACTACGACAGATCAACTTGCTGGAAGATTCGCGCAGCTCGCAATGTCCGATCCAACTCAGATTTTGCGACTTTGCGCATCTGACTCAAACTCAGGTTTCGCGTCCGAAATGGAGTCTTACCCGAGTTTTTTTCCGATGGGGCTTAAGAACGCAGCCTTGGCCTATCAAGAATACAACTCGAAGTACTCTCAGAGTCTTTTCAAGAAGTCGGGTCCTTTTCCGTTTAGACTCCACAACATGGCGACATCTTATCAGACACGGCCCGAAGGATCCCTCGATCCAGTGCTTAGAATGCCACTGAAAGGAGCTCAGGAAGGTCTCGTACTAACTATAACATCTCAAGACTGCATCGTCCACTGGCTAGGTTCTGTTCCTGAGGATAGCGGTACCCGACTAGTTGGCACGACGACAACAGCAGTTCTACCCTACCAAGAAGGAGACTCAATCTATGACCTTGAAGACTCTACTAAAGTTATCAATAACTCCGACAGTGAGGAAACCGACGCCGATAGCAGAACAATTCACGCACGAGAAGTGTTCATGGTTCGCCGTCCTTGATCACCATTAGTCTCCCCGGAAGCACCCGACGTCAGGTCATCGGATGAATCTGAGCTCAACATATCACCCTTTACCCAGGGGCACGATGGTGAGATCGAGAATCAGAAGCAAGCCAGAGAAAGAAAAAACAAGTTGAAATAAGGACGCCGACATCGTGCTAGGCAGCGTAAGGAAGCTTGGATCAGATATGAGTCAGATCTGGCCAAGTACAATAGAAGAAAATCAGAACGAGAAGTCGAAGAAGGACGCACGACGAATACACCCTATGATAAGATCCGAGAAGCACTAGAAGAACTCAGAGCAACCTCACATCCCAGTGAAAAACAAGAACAGCTCCAGGAATTTCTCCGGTCAACAGTCGTAAGGACGCATGATGGAAGAACCCATTCAAGACTACCTACCAGGTCAACATCTCATGAGCAGGAAGATCAAAATCAAAGGAAGTCCGCTTTTGAGAGACTTGGACCAAGTGGAAGTCACAATAGAGAAAGTAGAAGGGACCATAGTCAAAATGACCGAGTCGAACAACCAAGAAAGGTCAGAAGCAAAGCACCTATTCAGACAACCATGCAGAACTACTCTCACCAAGACAACAGTTGGCAAGAAGGGGGTGCTGAATCAGAATACACAGAAGCCAGAACGCACGATAGATTCCCCTATTTTGCAAACAGACTTGCTTCAATACGACTACCTCACAAGTTCAAGCCGTCCAACCACTCTAAGTGTGATGGCAAGACCGAACCAAGGCAGTGGCTTAGGATTTACTCTTAATCGATTGAATTGGCCGCAGGAGACGATGATATCAAGACCTTGTTCTTTCCCATGGCCCTAGAAACCATGCCCCTTCAATGGTTAGACAAATTGAATTCAGGGTCAATCAGAAATTGGGAGGACTTGCAAAGAACTTTCTATGAAAATTTCGCGCGTATCATTACACACCCAATTACCCACGCAGAGTTAAAAGGACTCAAGCAGAAAGAAAGTGAAAGTCTCAGAAATTACTATCGACGATTTGGCAAACTACGAGCTTAAGTGCATGACATCACCGAACGAGAAGTAATTGAAGCTTTCTCTCACGGAATCATGGCTAGGTGGCAATTTCAGGACTTCTGCAAAGAAAACTCGAGAAACAATGAAGAATTTAGACGAACAGTAGAAAAGATGATTACTGCAGAGGAGAAGACACGAGAAAGGTTCTCGGATAGAAACAACCGAGACAACCCGGACAAGCAAAATCATCGAAACAACAGACATCAGGAGAGAAAACGTGGACTAGACAACA